AGAGCTTGGAGTCAGCCTTGAAGGACCTGAAGATCAAATGATCTGTGTGGAATGTCTTCATCCCAGCTGTTGGGGAAGCAGGGCAAGGGGTCAGGGAGGCTACTGGTTGCTTTGCTGAACGTTTTTGGGGTACTGGTATGAGTTCCCACAGGGGTTCCTCCCTCAAAAAGGGAGGGGACAGATGGGGAGCTTTTCTTACCTATTCAAGGAATATGTGCCTTTTTCTTAAAGAAATGCTTTCATTTATTGGAAAAAAAAAATTCCCCCAAAGCACTATGCTGGTCATGAACTGCTTCAAAATGTGGAGGTAATAAAATGCAACTGTGTCAAAAAACAAAAAAGCAATTGTGGACCTCATTGACTACCCTGTCTCAGAGCCACTGGGGCATCAGGGACCTTGCCACAGCCACCACCTTATTGCGCCTTCCTCCATCTCATTTTCACGGCTGTACACTTGAACCTGGGCAGTAGCTACAAGATTTCCAGGGCAGAGGAGGTGGCTTTGGTAATACCCTTGAGGTGATTCCTGCTCCTTGGAGGTCTGCATTGGAGGTTTTCTTAAGCAGGCCAAGGGCTTGGAGGTCAGGGTGAGGGATACTGGCAGCTGTGACATCCCCCCAGGGCTCCTAGTGCTATCGACTCCAGAGTCAAGCTCACAAGTATGTTGGGGGTTGCCGGGAGAGGCTCTATACTAAATTATTTTGGCTCTGAGACAGGGTAGTCATAAGGTACGTGTCTTGTGACACATTCTGGAAGGAGGAGGTCTGTGGGAATGGCTGGCCTGAGGCCGTGTTTAGTGAAGTTCCCTCTGTGTGCCTAAGACAGTCCTCCTCTTGTTCTACCTTAGGGTGGGGGGCTGCCCAAAATCAGGAGGAGTAGCCCTACTCCTGCCTGGCACCCAGTTACATCAATAGAGCCCCTGGCCTCTCAGGACCATGCACAAAAAATACTGCTGTTCACAGGGTACAGGGGCAGACAGGTGCCATGGGGTCACCTTTCACTGGTCTGAACACAGGCAGGCCACTCCTAAACCTCAAGTTACCCCACTATCAGTCCCTGTCACAGAGGACTGAGGGAAGTGCAGCCAGTGCTGGGTACCAGCTCCTGGGTGGCTTCCTCTGGTACAGAACTCCTGAGGCTGTTACCCCAAGGGGACACCTGCAGGCCAGGCCGGGATCCTGGTGCTGTTTCAGCCTGCTGTGGCCTGCAAGGGTCTCTGGCTGCTGAGGCCCAAGATCCTGACTTGGCTAAAGGAGGGCGGGGGCAGGCTGTGGCATCTAAGGTCTCTCCCAGCCCTGATCCTGGGGTCCAGTCCCCACACCATGCTCAGTGCTGCCTGACAGATGTCATGCCTCAGGTAGGTACATCTCCTGAACCTTGCCAGGTGCATGTACCGTAGCATGGCACCATACCCTGCCAGGTAAAAATGGCTTGGGCACAGGAGCCAAAGGATGGATTACAAAACAAAGATTACGATAATGTCAAGTTTAATCTGCCAAATATACAAGTTGAATTTGTGGAGCGTGTTTTGCCTGGGTGCTGCACAGTAAACAGAGGTTTCTTGAAATGATCAATGGGTAGGGTTAAAAATGGGCATGGGCACTGGCCCTGGCCAGGTGGGTAGGAACCGGGTGGGAAGGGCAGACAGGACAGACAAGCCATTACCCTTAAGGACCCAGGGGCACAGGCTCCCAGATGACAGCCCCTCTTTGAACGAGCACCCAGGCAACACAGTCCGGGGCTGGTTGTAGCAAACCCATCAGCAGCTGCCTCCTGGCACGACCACCCCCTTCCATGCTATCTACTAGACAAAGGAAAGCTCTTCATACCCCATCTCCCAGGCACCCCCCAGCAAGGGCTCTGAATTCTAAAAACAGCGAAAACATTCAAATGGTTACATACGAAATGCTGTCCTGCATCTTTCTGTCTCAAAGATAGCAGCTTGCCCCTCCCCCAGCCCCCCCCCATCTCCCCAAACAATTGCTTTGCCAAGATGAAGAGGAGGCCCCAGGCCGTGGGGGACTCCTGGCCGTGAGGGGCTGTTGCAGCGGCGCCAGGGCACAGGGTAGGTGAGACACAGCAGAGGTCCTGGCAGCGTGGCCCAGGTCCCTGGCATCTCGCATTTACTTATTCAGGGAGAGTGACTGCATTCTTTTTCCTGACAATGTGGCATCATCTTTTGCTGAGGGGTGGGAGGAGAAGGGCAGGGGTTAGAACAAAGCAACCCCCACTCCCAACACATGCGCCAGAACCCTAGACCTTTAGGTCTGAAAGACAACAGAAAACATTCTGAGCAACAAAGAAGAGACCCAGGAAGGGCCGAGGTGCAGGAGACGATCTTTGCTGCAGCTATGGCCCTGGGCCCCAGACATTGCCGACATGTTTCAGTGGTCAGGAGCACCTTATGCAACGCTGTCCCTCGACAAAGCCCCACCAACACAAACTCTAGGGGGCAAATAGAAAATTCTCACCCCACCTCCCAGAACCCTGTAATTCTTTTTTTTGAGACGGAGTCTTGCACTGTCGCTTGGGCTGGAGTGCAGTGGTGTGATCTTGGCAGCGCGATCTCAGCTCACTGCAACCTCCACCTCCAGGTTCAAATGATTCTCCTGCCTCAGCCTCCCAAGTAGCTGGGATTACAGGCTACTGTAATGAGGACCACAATGAGAAACAGGAACTCGCTACCACGCCCAGCTAATTTTTTTATTTTTAGTAGAGACGGGATTTCACCACGTTGGCCAAGCTGGTCTCAAATTCCTGACCTTGTGATTCGCCCGCCTTGGCCTCCCAAAGTGCTGGGATTATGGGTGTGAGCTACCAAGCCTGGCCTAGAACCCTGTAATTCTAACCTCCATCCATGGGTTCTGAAGTCTAAAATCTAAACATTCTGGCCAGGCATGATAGCTCACACCTGTAATCCCAGCACTTTGGGAGGCTGAGACAGGTGGATCACCTGAGGTCGAGAGTTGGAGACGTGCCTGACCAACATGGGGAAACCCCATCTCTACTAAAAATACAAAATTAGCCAGCAATGGTGGTACACACCTGTAGTCCCAGATACTGGGGAGACTGAGGCAGGAGACTTGCTTGAACCCGGGAGGCAGAGGTTGCAGTGAATCAAGATCATGCCACTGCACTCCAGCCTGGGCATTAAGAGCGAGACTCCCATCTAAAAAAAAAAATTCTAAACATTCCAACAGTTAGATGTGAAGTCCTTTCCTGCTGGGGGTTTGTGAAGCAGGGTTGAATGGGAAGTTGGGATCACTGGATTTCTGGTGCAGGTGACAATGTCCTTGAGCAATTGCTTTCCCCTTTCCAGGCCCGCTTCTTCATGGTCTGGGGAGGCAGGACAGATGGGCATGTTGGGGTTCTCACAGACCCCTGGGAGATGGAAGGTTGTAAGTCAAATGCTCCTATAAACTGCACCAACTCCCACAGCCACCCTGGCCTAGAGGAACCTCTACCACCTCTGGCCTGCCTGGAGGGAGGGCACAGGAAGAGGGATGCCTGGGCTGGATGTCATGCCGGTCTGCACTGCTGTGTATCCAGCTTGTTCTCCCAAGCCCTGCAGATGGAGAGCGGTGACCTCAGGCAGCTCTCCCGGGTTCCCAAGGCACCAGAGACTTTGGTGGGACCTGTGAGTCTCAGGCAAGGTCTGTACTAGGGGCATAGTTTCCTGTGACCTCCCGCTGTTGGCAGTAGTAACTATCTACTGTGGATGGTGCTCTGCTGATATTTCAACCCACATCTTACTCCATGATGCTGCTGGACTCTCCCGGTCCCCTGAGAAGTGGCAGGCACACAGAGGGTGGGCCTCTCCTGAATGACCTCCTAGGCAGCAGTCACTCCTCACCTCATAATCACCTCGAGGACAGGGACACAAGTTCAGGGCTTGGTGGCTGGCCCAGGACCAGAGTTGGGGAATGTCCCTGCATGCGCAGCCCTGGTTCTTACCTTTCCTTTCCTCCTCCTTCTTCCTGGCAGCTTCCTCCCGCTGTTTCCGGATGATGGCCAGCCGGGCCAGGTCCGCCTTGGCTTGCTCTGTCTTCCCGGCCAAGTGCATTTTCATGTAACGCTCTTTTGCCTTCTGTTTCTCAATCTCTTCTCTGTGTGGATAAAATGGTGTCACAGGGATGTCTTTCCCACTTTTTGCCAAAATGGACAGGAAACAGAATAAAGGCCAAGAATTCGGCCTAGGGCCAAGGTGGAAGGGGTGCTCTGGCTGTGAGTCCTTCGCTCCGTGAACCCCCTGCTTGATAGCTGTTCACTCAGAAAGTGAGCAGGAGGAAGAGGCCCTGGGAGGAAACATCTGTGACTTCCAGAAAGCCTCAGCGGGAGAGGGGATAATGTCCAGCTACAGCAGGGAGGGGAGGATGCCTGAGAGATTCATAATAAGGCTCTGGTGGCCACAGAAAAAAGGGGGAGTGTGTTCCAGAGAAGATGACCAGGAGGATTAAAGCACTGGGGCCCATATCCTACAAGGAATGAAGGGCCGGACACAGTGGCTCAGGCCTGTAATACCAGCACTCTGGGAGGCCGAAACAGGAGGATCACTTGAGGCTAGAAGTTTGAGACCTGCCTGGGCAATATAGCAAGACTCTATCTGTACAAAAGAGAAAATTTTAAAATTTGTTGGGTGTGGTGGCACATATCTGTAGTCCCAGCTACTTGGGAGGTTGAGGCACGAGGATTGCTTAAGCCCAGGATTTCAAGGCTGCAGTGAGCTCTGACTGTACCACTGTACTCCAGCTTGGGTGACAGTGAAATCCTATCTCTAAAAAATACAAATAAGAAAAGGAATGAAGAAGTGGAGGAAGCAGCCACAGGGCATAGGATGAGGACCACAGTGAGAAACACACTCCCAGTCTCAGGTCAACACCACACGGCCCATTCTTATAGCAGCTCAGATGTGCATGGTGCTGTCCCACAAGGGGGCAGCACCTATCAGTAGGGGTGTGGGAATAATCACTGGGCTTCCATGGGACAGAGGTGTCAGTAATGAACCCCCTAGCTAACAGTCAGTGGTGAGGGTCAACAAGACATTCGCTACAGAGATTGAGGAGATAACACCTGGTGACCTGCAGATCCCAGCCCAAAAGCTCTGCAGGGCCCTTCAGTTTAAGCAAAGTGCCAGGCAGGGCACCTCTGCAACCCCAAAGGGCAGAGGGAGCAACAGGAGCCCTTTTACTGGAAACCCAGAAAGGGCACAGCCTTATTGAAGACTGCACAGCTGCCAAGTGGCAGAATACCCAGGTTGCTGGGTTTCTGAAGTTAATGCAGAGAGGAAACTACTGAAGGGGAACAGAAGGGTCCTTAGCAGCTGCAGTTACACCCAAGCTCACGGCCATCCCATTGAGGGTTTCATAGACACACCCCTCAGCCATCATCCTAAATGTCCAGTCAGGAGAGAAAGCAGCAGGCTTCCACCTCTTGTAAGGCAAAAGTCAGGGCACCATTCAAGGACTGATTCTGTGCCAGGCACTTCAGTATTTGATCTTGATCCTTATACAACTCTTGAGGAAGGTATTTGCAGCTTCATTTTCACACGGGACTTGTAGAGACCCAGGGCAGCCGGCTGAGCCAGGGATAACTTCCCTGTGCTGGGCTGGACTGCCTCTGGCCAGCACAGGCTCATAGTCCCCCCTTCCAGTCCCCATGGCCACGACACTACAAATGGATGCAGGTCAGGAATAGTCAGATCAGTGGGGTAAGGGAGGTCTCCTCAGGGAGTGGTGCTCTGGAGAGGACAATGAAGGGCAACCCTCTGTATCCTGGGCCGTTACCTCAAGTGCAAGGCTCAGGTCTGAGCCTGTGGTCCTAAACCCTGGTATCCTGTATCAATTGGTGAAAACAAATTCTGTGTGGATTTTTAAAGGCTA